ATGATGAAGGAGGACAAGTACAAATATGGATACTTCAAGTGTTCAAATTAAAACAAGATATATGTCTGCTTCAAACATCCAAAGACTGTATATAAAACATTACTTTACAATATTGTATTTAGTATTTGTGCAGAAACTTACTTCCAACATCCAGTCTGGTTCCTCCACCAAAAGTCAACCACAGTGATACAAACTCATTGAGCCGCCGTACAAAAACCTCTCACTGTAGAGAGACACGGCTCTCTGACTTTGACACACTGAACTAAACCTACAAGCCCTCAAGATGAAACTTTACCATTCATATACATATCAAGTCATATTCTGTCTTGATATTTTAAATTCACTTCAATAAGGTTTTGAATTTATATTCCTGATGCAAAGTTTGTCTCTGAGTGAAAAGTATTCGTGCAGAAGATTTACATTAATATGAAAAATCGAGAATTCTTCCTGAAATCCAGTATGTCCTGAAATTATAAAAGTTTTAATAATTTGACTTACTTCCAACATCCAGCCTGGTTCCTCCACCGAACGTGCACCACAGTGATACAAACTCATTGAGCCGCCGTACAAAAACCTCTCACTGTAGAGAGACACGGCTCTCTGACTTTGACAAAAACAAACTCAGCAAACACATTCCCAGTTTACCTAGTTCCTGTAATAATTGGTTAAAGTTTCTAAAACATAAACAAGGAATATATATATGTATTTTGTGAAATATGCCTTCTTACTTTTTCTTTCATTAAAACATTGAAATAAGATATTTCTAAAGAAAAACTCTCTAGTCAATCCTGACAAATGTATGAAAACAAATTTAGATCATGATTAATATAAAATAAATACATATGAATTGAACTGAATCATTTTGTTTAAATGTGTCCATCAGTGATGTTGATCTGTTTGGTAGTGAATTAGGGGGAATTCACTAAATATTCTGGAAGAAAATGTGTCCATCAAACTGAAACTAAAGCCTCATACAAATGAGCACTGACACATTCCTAATCAATACTCTGATAAAGTGATTGATCCATTGATAAACAGCATCATGAGAGGAATCCAAGTCCCTGTTGGAGTCAGTCAGAGCATTTCCATAGAGAGCCACTTTGCATCAGCAGCACCATGCTCCAGTGCTCTGGGAGAGTTTATAGTCCTGAGAGTTGAACACTGGATGACTGACAGCTGTCCTTCATGACAACAGAAGACACAGAAATCCTCCTCATCAAAAACATGACTTTGATCTCCGTCCTCATCTGGACTCTCCTCTGCTGCTGCTTCACAGGTAAAGTCCAGAGAATCAAACTCCTCTCCTCTATGAACATCCGTCCCTCTGAAATGAAGCCCACAAAACCATGACGCTGCTTTATGTTTTTGTCTCTGTATCCTCAGAGTCCAGAGGCCAGGTCACAGTGACTCAGTCTGGAGCAGTGAGCTCTGCTCTGGGAGGCTCCGTCACCATCACATGTAGGACCAGTCAGGATGTATATTATGGTAGCCCATACCACCGTTTAGCCTGGTACCAACAGAGAGATGGAGAAACTCCTAAACTGCTCATTTACTTTGCTAGCACTCGAGCATCAGGGATTCCAGGTCGTTTTACAGGCAGTGGATCAAACTCTGACTTCACTCTGACCATCAGTGGAGTCCAGACTGAAGATGCAGCAGTTTACTACTGTCAGAGTGAACATTACATCAACAGTCAGTGGTTGTTCACACAGTGAAAAAGCGTCGTACAAAAACCTCCCTCAGTCAGACTGAACAGAAACTGAACTGACTGCTGCAGCTGGAAGCTACTGCAGAGACTGATACACTTCACTGAGGACACACACACACACACACACACACACACACACACACACACGCTGTCTTGGTCATGACCTTTTACCTCTGCTTTATTCTGGATCACAGCTATTTCAACTACATCCAATTAACAAAGAGTATAAAGACTAATATCAGAAACGTTCATAATCAAAGATTAAGATTAATTCCTCAAATTTATTAAAGTATTAAAATAAATAGATAAATAAAGATTAACTGGAGACATAACAAGACAAAAGTGACCTACGTGATATAAATATATCAACATAAAAAAACACATTTTCTTTTATATGCAACTAAAATACCACACAAAGACACTGAGACTGAAAGTTATTGGTTGACGTTGGAAATACCCAGACAATCTCTGTACAAAATCCATCCCCTAACTGTTGTGGAGCTTTCAATCATATCACATGATCTTCTTCAGCTGATGGAGTCTCGCAGTTCAATTCAATTCAATTCAATTCAATTCAATTCAATTTTATTTGTATAGTGCCAATTCATAACAGAAGTTATCTCAGGACACTTTTCAAATAGAGCAGGTCTAGACCGAACTCTTTAACATTAATTACAGAGACCCAACAGTACCACCATGAGCAAGCACTTGGGGACAAGGGCAAGGAAAAACTGCCTGTTAAAAGGCAGAAACCTAGGACAGATCCTCCGGCTCTAGGTGGGTGGTCGTCTGTCTCGACCAGTTGGGGTGAGAGAGAGAGAGAGAGAGAGAGAGGCAGAGAGAGAGAGAGAGAGAGACAGACAGACAGACAGGTGCACAGCAACAACAGTATTGGCAATGGCAGTCAAGCAGGACCATGGCAGGAGGCTCCACCAGGATCCATGAGAACCTGCGAGATGAGAAAGCACATGAACTCCGGGGAAGAAGTGGAGTTAGTAACATGCATTAAAGGGACATGAATGAGTGCATAAAGAGAGAGGAAGGGAGGAGCTCAGTGCACCATGGGAAATCCCCCCGATAGTCTAGGCCTATAGAAGCATAACTAAGGGATGGTTCAGGACTCACCTGATCCAGCCCTAACTATAAGCTTTATCAAAGAGGAACGTCTTAAGCCTACTCTTGAATGTGGTGAGGGTGTCTGCCTCCCGAACCACAAATGGAAGCTGGTTCCACAGGAGAGGAGCTTGGTAACTGAAGGCTCTGGCTCCTGTTCTACTTTTAGATACTATAGGAACAAGTAGCCCAGCATTCAGAGAACGTAGTGTTCTAGAGGGGTAATAGGGTACTATGAGCTCTTTAAGATATGAAGGGGCCTGAGAATGAAGAGCTTTATAGGTGAGGAGGAGGATTTTAAATTCAATTCCACATTTTACAGGGAGCCAATGCAGAGAAGCTAGTACAGGAGAGATGTGATCTCTTTTTCTAGTTCCTGTCAGTACTCGTGCTGCAGCGTTCTGAATTATTGGAGCGTTTTAATAGACTTATTGGGGCAACCTGATAGTAAAGAGTTGCAGTAATCCAGCCTTGAAGTAACAAATGCATGGATTAGTTTTTCTGCATCTGTCTGTGATAGGATGTGTCTAAACTACAGTTAGTCATGGAGTTCCACAAGGTTCCGTACTTGGACCAATACTATTTACTTTATATATGCTCCCTTTAGGCAACATTATTAGGAATCACTCCATTAACTTTCACTGTTATGCAGATGATACGCAGTTATATCTATCAATCAAGCCCAATGAAATTAATCAATTATCTAAATTACAAACATGTCTTAAGGACATAAAATCCTGGATGACCTGCAATTTTCTGATGTTAAACTCAGAAAAAAACGAAATTCTTGTTCTTGGCCCCAAAAACCTTAGAGACTCACTGTCTAAAGATATAGTTACTCTAGATGGCATTAACTTGGCCTCTAGCACCACTGTCAGGAATCTTGGAGTTATCTTTGATCAGGATTTGTCATTTAACTTCCACATAAAGCAGACCTCTAGGACCGCCTTCTTTCATCTACGTAATATTAGGAAAATTAGACACATACTATCACAGACAGATGCAGAAAAACTAATCCATGCATTTGTTACTTCAAGGCTGGATTACTGCAACTCTTTATTATCAGGTTGCCCCAATAAGTCCATTAAAACGCTCCAATTAATTCAGAACGCTGCAGCACGAGTACTGAGTAATGCTCAAGTCTCAAGTACAGAGACAAGTCCATTGTCAGAAGCAGTCAGAACTTGTTAACTGGTTAACTTTAACCAGAGCTGTCTCTGTGCTGTGATGAACTCTAAATCCTGACTGAAAATCCTCAAATAAACTATTGTTATGTAGAAATTCACACAACTCTTTGGCGACTACTTTCTCCAGAATCTTAGAGAGGAAGGGGAGGTTAGAGATTGGTCTATAGTTGGCTAAAACCCCTGGGTCAAGAGTGGGCTTTTTTAAGAAGGGGTTTAATTACAGCTACTTTAAAGGACTGTGGTACATATCCTGATAATAAAGAAAGATTAATCATATCCAGTAAAGAAGTGCCAATTAAGGGAACAACTTCTTTAAGCAGCCTAGTTGGGATCGGGTCTAATAGACAGGTTGATGGCTTCGATGAAGAAATTATTGAAGTTAACTGATGAAGATCAATAGCAGAGAAACAGTCTAAATATATATCTAAGTTTACATTAGCAAAAGTCCCTGAACTTGGAGAGCCACTGATAACTGTTGATGGCAGTTGGTGATTCATTTTCTCTCTAATAGTAATAATTTTATTATAGAAGAAGCTCAGGAAGTCGTTGCTACTTAAGTTTATGGGGATATGTGGCTCAATAGAGCTGTGACTCTCTGTCAGCCTGGCTACAGTGCTGAAGAGGAACCTAGGGTTACTCTTATTTTCTTCTATTAGTGCTGAGTAATAGGCTCCTCTGGCATTACAGAGGGGCTTTCTATAAATTTTAAGATTATCTTGCCAAATTGAGCGATATTCTGATAATTTGGAAGAGCGCCATTTCCTTTCAGATTTCCTAGCTATTTGTTTTAACTGGCGGGTTTGGTGGTTGTACCAAGGTGCTAGTCTCCTATGTTTTAATAATTTCCTTTTTATAGGAATTATTAAATCTTTATTATTTTGAAATCTTGAAACCATCGAGAGAGAGAGACAGAGACAGAGAAAGAGTGAGAGAGCAACGGTATTGCAAAGTGCAGACTGAGAGCAGTAGCAGAGTAAAACCAGTATCAGAGTCCCAGTGAGTCAGGTTAGGACTGGGAACACTGGTCTCTCCTCAGTGTCTCTGAGAGCGGAGTCTGGGAGCCCTGGGTGGCCTCACAGGTCACAGAGCCCACCTTCCTCCAGTGGTCTGCAGAGAGCCTCAGGGTGCTGCTCCAGCTGTAGTGGCCGTCCTTCAGCACCCCGGGGCTCCTGCTCTCCTCCCAGCTGCTGCTGCTGCTGCTGCCGTCCACCTTCCAGGACAGACTCCAGTCTGAGGGGAAGCCCTTGTTGGTCAGACACATGAGTGTGGCCTTCCCCTGCTGCAGCTCCTCACTGGAGGGGGCAGCACCGTCAGGGTGGGACGGACATCACCTAGGAGACACCAATCAGCTTAGAGGACAGGGACCACACAGCTGTCAATCAAGCAGCAGACACTTGGACACCTTTACTGTGTGAGAGTTGATTTTCTCCTTTAAGGAGTTTCTGTCAGATGGTTTTTCTGCTCCACCAGTCACTCACTCACACATTGTTTCACTTCCGTTTAAGAAGCCTCCCATGCATATCAAAAAATGAACTGACTACAATGATATGTTCTTCATGTGGATTTCAATCATCATTACCAAACTGTAACTTTAAAACAACATATAACACTATGAAAGGATTTTGAAGATTTTCAAATACTTATCTTCAATCTATTAAATTTTACTTGAAAAGTCTAATCTTAATTTATTTGAAAACAGTTATAACTGCTGTGTAAAACATTAAATTAATCTTTAAAATTATGTATTTCTAAAACAGATTTGCATTTATATCTTTTCTACACTTAAAGCTGTTTAAATTTCAGTTTGACAGTAATGTGTAAAGAACAAAGAGTTAGCCTCCACGATATAGGAGAAAAAGTACAAACATGAATACTTCAAGTGTTAGAATTAAAACAAGATATATCTGTCTGCTTCAAACATCCAAAAACTCATTTTAAATATTACTTTACAATATTGTATTTAGTATTTGTGCAGAAACTTCCAGTCTGGTTCCTCCACCAAAAGTCAACCACAGTGATACAAACTCATTGAGCCGATCTTTTTTTGTGAAATAAGGTCTATTAATTTATGTTACATTAAAACAATGAAATGATAATTTTGTAATGAAAAACTCTCCAATAAATTGTAACAAAAAATAAATAATGATCGTAAACATTTGTTTACTGTAGATTATAATGAATATAAATGAAAAATAAAATTTTGTTTAAATGTGTCCCACAGTGATGTTGATCTGTGTGGTAGTGAATTAGGGGAATTCACTAAATATTCTGGAAGAAAATGTGTCCATCAAACTGAAACCAAAGCCTCATACAAATGAGCACTGACACATTCCTAATCAATACTCTGATAAAGTGATTGATCCATTGATAAACAGCATCATGAGAGGAATCCAAGTCCCTGTTGGAGTCAGTCAGAGCATTTCCATAGAGAGCCACTTTGCATCAGCAGCACCATGCTCCAGTGCTCTGGGAGAGTTTATAGTCCTGAGAGTTGAACACTGGATGACTGACAGCTGTCCTTCATGACAACAGAAGACACAGAAATCCTCCTCATCAAAAACATGACTTTGATCTCCGTCCTCATCTGGACTCTCCTCTGCTGCTGCTTCACAGGTAAAGTCCAGAGAATCAAACTCCTCTCCTCTATGAACATCCGTCCCTCTGAAATGAAGCCCACAAAACCATGACGCTGCTTTATGTTTTGTCTCTGTATCCTCAGAGTCCAGAGGCCAGGTCACAGTGACTCAGTCTGGAGCAGTGAGCTCTGCTCTGGGAGGCTCCGTCACCATCACATGTAGGACCAGTCAGAAGGTTTATGGTGGGAGCTATTTACACTGGTACCAACAGAGAGATGGAGAAGCTCCTAAACTGCTTATTAAGTATGCTAATCAGCGATTGTCAGGAATTCCAGGTCGTTTTACAGGCAGTGGATCAAACTCTGACTTCACTCTGACCATCAGTGGAGTCCAGACTGAAGATGCAGCAGTTTACTACTGTCAGAGTTATCATGAAATCAACAGTCAGAGAGTGTTCACACAGTGAAAAAGCGTCGTACAAAAACCTCCCTCAGTCAGACTGAACAGAAACTGAACTGACTGCTGCAGCTGGAAGCTACTGCAGAGACTGATACACTTCACTGAGGACACACACACACACACACACACACACACACACACACACTCACAAACACACACACACATACACACAGTGACACACACACACACCACCACCAGTGAACACGTATTAAAACAAGTTCAGTGATAAAATATAATCTTGCAGGAAATCAAATTACTTTCTCCCTCACAGTTTCTTATTATAATCCCATGTTCTTATCTGGTTTGTAAAAGTATCAAGCGAAGCCAATGAGAGAGTTAATGAGAGCTGTCTTGGTCATGACCTTTGACCTCTGCTTTATTCTGGATCACAGCTATTTCAACTACATCCTATTAACAAAGAATATAAAGACTAATATCAGAAACGTTCATAATCAAAGATGGACCAATCAAAACCTGTACATCCCTCAAATTTCATAAAGTATTAAAATAAATAAAATAAAGATTAACTGGAGACATAACAAGACAAAAGTGACCTACGTGATATAAATATATCAACATAAAAAAGACATTTTCTTTTATATGCAACTAAAATACCACACAAAGACATTGAGAGTGAAAGTTATTGGTTGACGTTGGAAATACCCAGACAATCTCTGTACAACATCCATCCACTAACTGTTGTGGAGCTTTCAATCATATCACATGATCTTCTTCAGCTGATGGAGTCTCCCAGTTGTCATTGAATTGTAGTTGTTCAAATTCCCATTCCTCTGAGCATTTTCAGGACTTCTTGTCCATGTTGGCATCAAAGTTAAAATATTCCATGACAACTGGGTGAACTCCATCTGCTGAGGAAGACCATGGGATTTGATCAAAAGCTCCAGAACAATGACTGAATGGAGCTTGAGCAGAAATTGATTTGATTGTTAATCATGTTAAATGTTGTGACCTTTTTATATTTTTTCAGATACATAAAACCTACCATAATTTCTCTTTTGAACATAATTTTGGGGCTTTATGCCTTTTTCATTGATTAGACAGCTCAATATAGACAGAACACGTTTGAGAGAGATTTAGCTGTCTAGATTTAAATAGAAAGAGTTTCCAACATATGTCAGTTGTTTTCTTTTATAAACATTAATATGAACATCCACATAAGTTGTTGTGCACATACACGTTATAAACAAAAAGTGTCCAGTATGGGGAAACCCAATGAAACAGGTTGTATGCACATTTTTCACTCATGCTGTTATTTTTATTTTCAGCTTCTTTTCACAGATTATATTAGTTATCACCAATGGTGAGAAAATCTTATTCTGACATTGGTTATAATCCTGCACATGTGAAAATATGGAATAAGACATCTATTGTTGGTAAACAGGGATCCATGAAAAAAACATTTGATTCAAAGAAAGAAAATATCTTCACTAATTTACAGCATTAACAGCATCTGCATTTTTGGGACAATGAAAATGTCACAATTTGAAGTTTATATATTGGTGGAATGATAGAAAGTGCAGATTTAAAGCTGTAGCAAGGTAAAAACAGAAGCAGAGTCCCAGTGAGTCCGGTCAGTACTGAGAACATGGTCTCTCCTGTCTGGGAGCTTTTTTACATTTGCTTTGACAGAAAAGTTATTTTTGTTGAAATAATTTCAGCTCCCAGCACAATAAAATGAATTGGTTTTATAAATTGTATATTATTAACACCGTTTTATGAATCTCAAACAATTTGAGTCTCCTCTTGTTGATTAAATCATGAAAAAATGATGTGATACAGCACAGTTCAGTACAGAGTAGGACAGTGAGAAATATTTCTAACATCATCACCTGATATGTTAAAATCCAGCTATCTGACCCTGAGACAACTCAGTGTGTTTGGAATAAAATGATCCACTGTTTTACACAGCAATATATACAAATATTAAGATAAGATAAGACAAGAAGATAATTCCTTTATATATCCCCCTAAGGAGAAATTAATTTTGACACAGCAGCAATAGGGCAAAGCAGCTCAAAAACAGAAAACAAAGAATAGAAATAGAATAGAATAGCACAGTAAAAATATTGCTAATAGTATTAATATTAGAAGATATAAAAAGTATAAATTAAAGTATATACACTATTTGTTGTTCAAGTAGGACATGGAGTCCAAAATATGAGCAGAATTAAACTTGACTAAAACTAAAAAACTGAAACTAAACTAAAACTACCAAACTACTAAAGTGGAAATTAAATAGAAATAGTGCAAAAGGTTTGTGCGTTGTAGGTAGGAGTTCTAAACCAGTCTTTGTCTGCTGGGGTTGGAGGAACTGGGAGCTGTGGTTGTGGAGGTTGGAGGAACTGGGAGCTGTGGTTGTGGAGTCTGATGGCAGATGGTACAAATGAGCCTCCAAACTGCTTTGAGGCTTGAGGCTGGAACTGAAGATGCTCCTGAGCTGCCTCAGCTCAGCGTGGTGAGGATGACAGGGGTGATGATGATGGCTTTCAGCTTCCCTGGGATGACGTGTCGACGTCCCAGGCGTGCGCCACTACTGCCGATGGAGGAATGTCAACAGTGACGACAATAGTGGCCGTAATCTCACGGGGCAGATAGTATGGCCTTAACCCTATGGCCAGAAGTTCAATATCAGGCGTGCAGATTTCTGCCTTCTTGACAACATGTCCAGGGTTACACCATTTAGAGTTCACAAAGACAGCGAGACCTCCTCCAGACTTTTTACCGCTCTGTTTCCTCCTGTCGGCCCGAAACTAGTGAAAAGCTAGTTCCACTGAACAGTCTGGTGTAATGTCATTCAGCCATGTCTCCGTCAGACATAATATGCTGCACTCCCGATATTCTCGCTGTCCGTTGACCAGTGCCGAGAGCTCGTCCGTCTTGTTGTTCAGCAAGCGTACGTTTCCCAAGACAACCGAGGGAAGACATGGCTTGTATCTCCACCGCCTCTCTATCTTTTTGGTCCTCACCAACCTGCTCTGGTTCCTCTCCTTCACTCCACCGGGATCTCCCTCGGGGCATGCGACACGTAAATCCCGATACCGTAGGAAGTCCTCACGTGAATAACCTCTGGTGTTTTGTTGTGTGGTGGTTGTTGTGTCCACATTTCTACACATTGTTTATATTTAAAAAAACTAAGTACAACTACGGCTAAAAA